CAGGTGTGTTTTTTTGTTTGTTTGTTTGTTTTTTTTGAGACGGAGTCTTGCTCTGTCTCCCAGGCTGGAGTGCGGTGGCATGATCTCAGCTCACTGCAACCTCTACCTCCCGGTTCAAGCAATTCTCCCACCTCAGTCTCTCGAATAGCTGGGATTACAGGTGCACGCCACCACACCTGGCTATTTTTTTTTTTTTTTAAGTAGAGATGAGGTTTAACCACGTTGGTCAGGCTGGTCTCAAACTTCTGACCTCAGGTGATCCACCTACCTCGGCCTCCCAAAGTATAGGGATGACAGGCGTGAGCCACCATGCCCAGCCCTGAAGCAGGTGTTCTGAGCCATGAGTAGGAGTTTGCCGGGTCGGCAGGAGGGGAAGGGTGTTGGAAGCACCAGAAGCAGCATGAGCGGGGGCTGGGAGGTGTGAGAGCTAGCGGGTTATTTGGGGTTGGCAAGGGGTGGGCTGTGGCTGGAGTCTAGGGTGGAACAATGCTGGAAGGGAGGATTTACATCCTGAAAGATGTCACCACCAAGGAGGTCCTAGGGGGTGGGCCGTGGATGGACGCTGGAGCAGGGGCACAGAGGAGGGGGGAGTGGTGCGAGTGGCCCCAGGCAGAGAGTGAAGGCAGAGCATTTGGCCTCTTAGGCTGGATGACAGGCCGCCTGGTGGAAACCAGGTTGTGGAAGGCTCTCTGTGCTGGGGTGCATGGACTTTAACCTGGGGGTGCTGAGGAGTGTGAGCTTTATCTGGAAGGTGGGGAGTCAAAGGACGTGTCAGAGGGACGTGAGAGAGCAGGTGCTTCTGGCCTTCCCAGAACCCCGGTTGTAAATACACCCTGAGAGGCCTGTCCCTGTTGGGGGGTGGTGCTTCGCGCAGTGGAAATTTGAGTCCGATTGCCCAGAATGAGACTAGCTCTCTGGGCAGAAGCCTGCTTGGTGACAGTCCTCGACTCGCTTGCTACCATTCTGTGACCCCGAGCAAGGAAGTGACCCCCAGTGAGACACCCCCTCCCCCACCCCATAGAGCCCATTCCTCAGCAGATCTCAGCTGGAGCTGGTGGCCCTGGCTGGACCCGGCCTGGCTCCTGGAACTCCTGAGTTCCCAGAAGGGAGGCTCTCCCGGCTTGACTCACTGGCCTGTTTCAAAGGCCCTTGACATGGATGCTTTCACAGTCACTTCAAAGCAGGGTTTCTAAGCCTAGAAGTTTCTAAACAAGTGTGCAGTGGCGAAGCATCTGTGCTGCGATTTGTGAAGGATTTGGAGGTCAAGGCCTGGGCTTTGAGCCTGTCCTTGTAGCCCGAGCTTTTTCTGCTCCTCCAAATTTCGGTGGGCCTGACTAAAACTCAGGGCCCTCAGAGCTGTGGCCGTTGGACTAATTGTTCCCAGTTTCTTTTTTTTTTTTGAGAAGGAGTCTCGCTCTGTCGCCCAGGCTGGAGTGCAGTGGCCGGATCTCAGCTCACTGCAAGCTCCGCCTCCTGGGTTTATGCCATTCTCCTGCCTCAGCCTCCCAAGTAGCTGGGACTACAGGCGCCCGCCACCTTGCCCGGCTAGTTTTTTTTTTTTTTTTTTTGAGACGGAGTCTCACGCTGTTGCCCAGGCTGGAGTGCAGTGGCGCGATCTCGGCTCACTGCAAGCTCCGCCTCCTGGGTTCACGCCATTCTCCTGCCTCAGCCTCTTGAGTAGCTAGGACTACAGGCGCCCGCCACCGCGCCCGGCTAATTTTTTGTATTTTTAGTAGAGACGGGGTTTCACTGTGGTCTCGATCTCCTGACCTTGTGATCCGCCCGCCTCGGCCTCCCAAAGTGCTGGGATTACAGGCTTGAGCCACCGCGCCCGGCGCCCGGCTAGTTTTTTATATTTTTTAGTAGAGACGGGGTTTCACCGTGTTAGCCAGGATGGTCTCGATCTCCTGACCTCGTGATCCCCCCGTCTCGGCCTCCCAAAGTGCTGGGATTACAGGCTTGAGCCACCGCACCCGGCCAAGTTCCCAGTTTTTTTTTTTTTTTTTTTTTTTTTTTTTGAGACGGAGTCTCGCTCTGTCACCCGGGCTGGAGTGCAGTGGCCGGATCTCAGCTCACTGCAAGCTCCGCCTCCCGGGTTCACGCCATTCTCCTGCCTCAGCCTCCTGAGTAGCTGGGGACTACAGCGCGCCCGCCACCTCGCCCGACTAGCTTTTTGTATTTTTTAGTAGAGACGGGGTTTCACCGTGTTAGCCAGGATGGTCTCGATCTCCTGACCTTGTGATCCGCCCATCTCAGCCTCCCAAAGTGCTGGATTACAGGCTTGAGCCCACCGCGCCCGGCTGTTCCCAGTTTCTTTAATCCAGCAGATGAGGAAACTTCCTGGTGAGACGCCACTGCATTCTCTTGGCCTTTGATAGAAGCACAGGCTTGTTTTTTTAACAGAAAACCAGTTTTGCGAATTGTGGGAGAGGAAAATGCATGAATGTGCTTTTGTGCTTTTAAATGACCCTTTTAGAGAGAAGCAGAGAAGCAGTTCATCGGTTCCCATTTACACAATAGACACTTTTCACCAAAGTCCCTGATCCATAGAACAGAGCTTGGCAGGTGTTTTCTGGGGAAGGGCTAGACAGTAGTTTTGCTGGGCTCTGTGGCCCACGTGGCCCGTGGTGCGGATGGCTTGGTTTCTCCTGTTGTACCTCCAGAGCCAGGACTCTTCCTTAGGAATGGGCTTGGCTGTGTTCCAATAAAACTTTATTTACAAACACAGACGGTGGGCCGGGACTATGGATTCTTGGCCTCTGCCGTGACCATAACATCCTCCTGGAGTAGTGCGAGGGGTCTGAACACTGCGGGGCTGTGTTGGAAGGGGCACCCTCCGGGCTCGGCACCGGGGCCAGACTAAGGGTTGCTCTCAGGGAAGGCAGCTGTGTGGGCCAGAACTGGAAAGAAAGGCTCCTGATCTGCCTCGGCTCTGGGGGAGGTCACCGGAGGTGCTTGGAGTTGGGCTGGGGCAGGTGTGGGAAGGAGCAGCATTAGCCAAGTGCTATGAGATCCCCAGTCGATTGTGGGGACTGGGGCTCCGTGGGCTTTCACCATGCTGCCACCCGAGGTCACCAGGGCCTTGATCAAGATGCCCCAGGACCAGGCCGGAGGCCCTTGTGTGATTTCAGTCAGGGCCCGGCTGTTGGAGAGCCAATCTGTGCCCGTGTGCTGGGGTTGGTGTCTTGGCATCAGGGACCGTCGGGACCATTAGCCAGCCAGAGCTCCCTTCCCCAGCCCCAGCTTGGCAGAGCTGCTTCTGCATTGTGGGCCCTTGTGGCGTTGTGGCGTTGGCCTTTTCAGTGCACGGCTCAGTCCCCTCCAGATATGTTTGCATCCTGTTCCTGATGAGGTGAATGGCTGTGGCCTGTTTGTTTCCATGCAGGTCCCCTGGGGGACCAGGGGGTGTGGTGTCGTCTGGGAGGTTTACAACCTGGCAGGAGCCTGCAGCTCCGGAAGGCCTGGCCCAGGAGCCTGCAGTGTGGCAGAGTTGCCCTGGGCACTCCTGAGAACAGGTGGGCCTAGGGCGCGGGGGTGGGTCTCCTTGGTCCCTGGGCACATGGCTTTCTCCTGGGACCCTCCACCCTGTGCAGGCCGGGCTCCCCTGGGGGCCCACACTGAGGGGTCTGCAGTGTGACGCAGCAGCTGGGACCTGGGCCCCGTCCTGTGGGACCCTCTGGTGACTGGTGTCTCATGAGATGGAGATGTCCTTGTCAGCTGCTGGGTGGGGGGCCCTGGGCAGGGGAGCAGGAGGAAGGTGGGGGATGGTAGGTGTGGGCGGCTGGACTGGACTGGGCTCTGCTGGGAGAACCGTGGCTCTGCTTAGGCCAGAGCCCTCAGTGTCTGCAGTGGTCCCCGCGGTGGGAAGTGTGGTGAGCAGCACCAGCTTCCTGCATGTGGAATTGCGTCTTTCCTCATAGCTCCATCCTACTCTGTTAAGCACTGGGTTGAGGGAGGCGGGGGTCAGCCCTTTGGTCCAGGGCCCGTCTACTCCGTGACCCTCCTGGGAGGCGTCCAGGGCTTTAGGGCCCGGTCCTGCCCCTTACTTCATTTTGAGAGCATGGCAAGGGCCTGGGCCCGCTCTGTCCCGGTGCGGTGGGCCACCGCCCCTGCTCCTCTTGGCCGGCTTTGGCCACTCGTCCCCGTTCCGTGTGAGGGGCTCCTGCCAGAGGATCCGGACCTTCTCCCTGTGGCCCTCTCTGAGCTGCTGCTGCTGCAGGCTGGAGAGCACGAACTTGAAGTCCTGATGGCTGTTCCTTCTCCCTCCCGGGAAGGGGGAGCTGCTGTGCTGGGACTCTGCTGGTTTGGGGCTTCGCGGGGAACACGACGCTGTCTGTCCTGCTGGTGGCAGCGTGACCTGTGGCAAACCTCAGCCTGTCCCACTCAGGACCCAGTGCCCGTAGGCCCCTTGGCTCAGCTGCTTCCTGCTATTCTTCCAGCAGGAGCTGAGGGATGCCGGCCGACCTGGGATCCATCCCCCTGGTCTGGGACCCATTATGTGCCTGGACCCCTTGTGCCCCTGGAATGCCAGTCGACAGGCAGTGCTCATGGGGCTATGGGTCAAAGGCCACCCAGACCTGGGGGGTGTGGAGGCTGTTCAGGCCTCCCGCCCAAGCCCAGGGCCACGTCCGCTCGGGCCCTGCCCTTCTTCCCTGCTGAGGGCTCTGCCTTCGGCTGTCCTTCTCCTACCATGCCCACTGGTCCTGGGAGGTCCAGGAGGTGATGCGATCCCTGTTTTTGGTGCAGAAACTCGGGAGCCACAGAGAGGTGACCTGACACACTCATGGTCACCAGCCTGGGGCCCCCTGAGGAAGGTGAGCTGGTCTGCGTCTTTGCTATAAACCATGCACCGTCCACATCCCTGTCTGTCCTGTCGAGACGGGGAGGCGTCCCAGACGACCTCGTGAACACGGGCGCCCTTCCTGGAGGCATCCTCGTCTCCTCGGGCCTGTTTCCCGTGCTGTGCTCTGATCGCCGGCCTTGTCCCGCAGGTGCCTGTGGTACGGCATGGTGCACGTGGTCTCCGAGGCTGGGGGCCCCAGAGGCAAAGACTACTGCATCCTCTACAACCCGCAGTGGGCCCATCTGCCGCATGACCTCAGCAAGGCGGTAAGTACCCGCCCCCTGGGCGCCGCCGCGGGGGGGAATGCGTGGGCCCAGGGCTCTAGAGACTCATCCAGCCAGGGCTGCAGGAAAGATCCAGAGGCGAGAGGCAGGCCCTGGCCAGGTCTGGGGGACTCTTGGGTAGCCCCTAGTTCCCCTGGGCCTCCCTAACCCTGGTCATCAATGCAGGCTGTCCATAGGGCCTTGGGATGCAACCTAGAGGCACCGGCTCAGCCCCATGTGGTGGACAAGGGTCTCTATTGCTCCATGCTGGGCTCCCCATCTGGTGGGCCCGGACAGAGGGCTCTTGGAGGAGTGACAGCAGAGGACACAGTGGGGTCTCTGGATGAGACCTGTTCCTTTCACCATCTTCCCGACTGGGGCACTAACACCTGCTGCTGGGTGGGTCCCTCCCTCCCTCAGAGGCGCCACCTCCTTTCCCACTGCATCCCTCAGGCCCTGCCCCTTCTCACTGCATCCTCAGGCCCTGCCCTCTTTCCCACTGCATCCCTCAGGCCCTGCCCCCTTCTCACTGCATCCTTCAGGCCCCGCCCTCTTTTCCACTGCATCCCTGAGGCCCTGCCCCCTTCTCACTGCATCCTTCAGGCCCACCCTCTTTTCCACTTCATCCCTCAGGCCCCGCATCCTTTCCACCATGTTCCTCGGCCCTGCCTCCTTTCCCACTGTGTCCCTCAGGCCCCGCCTCCTTTCCCACTGTATCCTTCAGGCCCCACCTCCTTTCCGACTGAGTCCCTCAGGCCCCGCCTCCTTTCCCACTGAGTCCCTCAGGTCCTGCCTCCTTTCCCACTGCACCCCTCAAGCCCCGCCTCCTTTCCCACTGCATTGCTCAGGCCCCACCTCTCCTGCTGAGTCCTTCAGGCCCCGCCTCCTTTCCCACTGTGTCCCTCAGACCCTGCCTCCCTCAGGCCCCACCTCCTTTCCCACTGCTTCCCTCAGGCCCCGCATCCTTTCCCACTGTGTCCCGCCCCCTCCTGGATCCCTTGAGGCCTGTCGGCCAAGAGGTGCTAGGGTCTTCCTGTCTGCTTTGTTCATAGTGTGTGCGTGAGCACGTGTGTAATTGGTACGTGCCTGCACATGCGTACGTGTCTTGAGTGCATGTTTATGTGAGTTTGCGTGAGTGTATGTGTGCATATGCCTGAGTGTGTGTGTGAGCACATGTGTAATAGACATGTGCATGGACATGTATGTACCTTAGTGCGTGTGTGGGTGTGTCAGCACACGTGTGCATGTGAGCGTGTGTAATAGGTGTGTGGGGGCATGTGCATGGGTCTGAGTGTGTATGTGTGCACGTGTGTGAGCGTGCATGTAGTAGGTTTCTGTATGGGTGTGTGAGTGCGTGGTGGTGTGTACAGGTGTGTGTAAGCACGTAACCGTGTAATAGGTATGTTTGTGGATACGTGCATGTGTCTGCGCACGCGTGCGTGTGTAATAGGTGTGCGTATATGTGTGTGCGTGTGCATGATAGGTTTGTGTGTGGTGTGCCTGTGTATTCGAGTTCGTGTGTGCATGAGTGTGTGCGTGTGAGCTCATGTGTCGTAGGTATGCGCACGTGCCTGAGTGCGTTTGTCTGTGTGAATCCGTGTGGTGTGTGTGCATGCATGTGTGTGTAATAGGTGTGTGTGCCCGAGCAGGAGTGCACAGGTGTGTGCTTGCCTGTGCACGTGTGTGCCGTGTGCTCTGGGCTATGTGTGTGTGCACGTGTGTGCGCGTGTGTAATAGGTATGTGTGTGCTTGAGCGTGAGTGCGCATGTGTGTGCTTGCGTCTGCATGTGTGTACCTTGTGCTTCGGCCTGGCTATGTGTGCACGTGCATGTGTGGTGCACTCCATCCTGGCAGTGGGTATGTGCGTGTGTGTGTGCATGTGTGCGTGTGTGTGTCATGTGCTTCGGCCTGGCTGTGGGGTGTGCTCCAGCCTGGCTGTGGGTGTGCGTGTGTGTGTGTGCACCGGCCTGGCTGTGTGCGCATGTGTGCGTGTGCACGTGTGTCTTGGCTTCCTTCCTGGGCTGTGAGGTCGCTGAGAGTCGGGGCCTTGTTCTCCGCACACTGGAACCCCGCACACTGGTTTCTCACAGATGCCTGGCCGTGGTGGGGCTGTGGTGGGGACCCACTCGGTCTTGCTGAGTGAGCTGTGATGGCTCGCAGGTGGCTCAGGTGTCAGGGGACAGCCTTGTCTGTGAGGACTCCGGCCCTGCTCAGATGAGGCGCCCCAACCCGTCGCCCAGCGCCCTGCTGTGGGAACCACCGTAGGGATGGCTCTGCCTAGGTGGGGCCGAGGCCATGCGGGGCTTTAGGCGAGAGCCGAGATCTAACTCAGCGCAGGCTTCGGTTGGGAGAAGGGGCAGCTGGGTCCTCCTGGTGACTCACATCACGTGAGACGAAACCGTGCCCTGGCCTTTCCAGTCTTTCCTGCAGTTGCGCAACTGGACGGCCTCCCTGCTCTGCTCCGCAGCGGACCTCCCTGCCCACGGCTTTGGCAACCAGATCCCGCTGGTGGCCCGGGGGAACTGCACCTTCTATGAGAAAGTGAGGCTGGCCCAGGGCAGCGGAGCACGCGGGCTGCTCATCGTCAGCAGGAGAGGCTGGTACGGCCCTGCACCCCCACCGCCGAGCCAGCTCTCAGGGGCAGGAGGGGGGTGCAGGAGGCAGCAGCGGCAGGGGCTGCTCTTCTGATTTCTCACCAAAGGCAGGCCCTCTGTGGGAGGATCCGGGCTGAGTGTGGCTGTGGGGAGGATCCGGGCTGAGTGTGGCTGTGGGGAGGATCCGGGCTGAGTGTGGCTGTGGGGAGGATCCGGGCTGAGTGTGGCTGTGGGGAGGATCCGGGCTGAGTGTGGCTGTGGGGAGGATCCGGGCTGAGTGTGGCTGTGGGGAGGGCAGAGATGAGTCTGTTCTTTCTGTGCTGCCGGCCGGGGCTGTGGAACTTTGGCCGTGGTCTTGCTGGGTGCCTGTGCTAGAGCAGCCCCCGGGGTGAGGGAAACCACACTCTCCATAGGGATGGGATTGGGGTGTCTTCTGCGGAGCAGATGGCCTGGCCCTGAACTGGCCCCTTCTGGGGACCCTGGTGCCCTGGCTCTCGAGCCGGTGGGGCTGTGCTCACCTGTGTGGTCCTATCCAAGTGGCCTGAAGCCCAGCCCCTTTCCATCTGCTGTGAAACGGGCTGTGGTTGAGAACTGGGGGCCTGGCAAGGCTGGTCACAGCAGGGGACACGCTGACTGCTGGGCTGGGCAGGGTGCACAGCACCCCTGAAGTGTAGTTTTGGGGTAAGAAGAAAATGGAGTGCAGGAATTCCCTCACAGCCCTGCCCGTGGCTCTAGGCTGCCCCCGCCAGCATTGCAGCCTGAGCCTGGCCACCTGGGGAGGCCTGGGGCAGGGTCTCAGGGCTGAGGCCAGAGCAGGCCGGGGCAGAGCCGAGGGTGTCATCCCCGTCTGCACGTGCTGCCGTCGTCATTGAGAGAGGCCCTCAGTGGGTGCGGGGCTCAAGGTGGCCTAGTGGGCAGGCGTGGGCTGTGACAAGTGTCACTCAGGACGTGTGTGTGCGGTTAGGGAGTCCCACGGCTGAGGGAGGGATTGGCTGTCTTAGGCCCGGGGCCCTGTTGTCGGGGTGAAGAAGTCTTGATGCCCTTGGGCCTCCCGGTCCTTGGGTCCTCCTGGGAGCCGGAGGCTGTCAGGTGCAGAGGGGGAGCAGACAGGCGCCCCCAGCCTGGCCTGAGCCTCGAGTGAGGGTCCCAGGAGAGGAGGCAATGGGCACAGAGCTGGGGCCCACCCATTGCTGCGGGTGATGCCTGCCGCTCCCTCCTCTGGGCCCCCAGGTCCCCCCGGGGGCAATAAGACGCAATATGATGAGATTGGCATTCCTGTGGCCCTGCTCAGCTACAAAGACATGTTGGACATCTTCAGGGTAGGCCTGCCGCTGCTCAGACGCGCGCTCCCGAGGAGATGGGGCGGGGGCTTCGGGCTGGCTGCCGGGGGGGTTTGTGCCGGGGTGGTGGGTGAGGCGTGGCCCCCTGCAGGCCAGGGTCTCCAGCCCCAGCCCCATAGCCCACCGCTGCACGCTGACCCGTGGCTGGCGGGTGGCTCTGATGCCTGCCCCTGGTGTGTTCCTTGAGGCAGCGTTTCGGCCGCATGGTGAGGGTGGCACTGTATGCGCCTCATGAGCCAGTGCTGGACTACAACATGGTCGTCATCTTCATCATGGCCGTGGGCACTGTCGCCATCGGCGGCTACTGGGCCGGGAGTCGGGACGTGAAGAAGTGAGTTTTGCGCCGTGCGTGGGCTGTGATGGGCGGGCGGGTGGGCGGGCGGCTCTGACGCGGCCTGGGACGGCCAGTCTTCCCATCCGGAACAGCAGTGACCGCTTTGGCCTGGGCAGGCACGGCTCGCCCCGTGGAGCCCTTCCTTTCTTCCTCAGGAGGTCCTGGGACAGAATCAGGCTCTTTTCCTGCTGGGGTGGGCTCCGGGGACCCGGTGGGTGTGCAGGGCTGGGCAGGTGTGGATGTGGCAGGTACGGGCGTGGCAGGTGCAGGGCGGGCAGGTGGCTGGGGCTAGCTCCCCTCTCCTGCCCAGCCGCCCGGGTCTGGGAAGGCCCCATGTCCAGGGCTCTTTATGCAGAACCCGCACAGCAGCCTCTGGCCCGGCCTAGTGGCCGCCCCAGCTCAACCCAGGGACGGGAGCCCGGCCACCCTCTGCTGTGTGGTCTCCTCTGCCCTGGGGACGTTTGGGGCAGTTCCTTGCACTTCAGTCCCCCCCGGGTCCCCTCCTGCTCCCGGGTTTTCTGCCGCATTCCCCTGGGTAGCTGTGGACTCCTGGGCCTCGTGTAGGCCAGCCCGGCCCCAGCGCCCCCGTGACCCCGTGGTGTCTCCCAAGAAGGTACATGAAGCACAAGCGCGACGACGGGCCCGAGAAGCAGGAGGACGAGGCGGTGGACGTGACGCCAGTGATGACCTGCGTGTTCGTGGTGATGTGCTGCTCCATGCTGGTGCTGCTCTACTACTTCTATGACCTCCTCGGTGCGCGGCCCCAGGCGGGTGGGCCGCGGCGTGGAGATGCAGCCGGCCCTGAGGGAGGGAGGGTGGTGTGCGGGCCTGGCCTCTGGCCTCACGGCCCTGCCCCTGCAGTGTACGTGGTCATCGGGATCTTCTGCCTGGCCTCCGCCACCGGCCTGTACAGCTGCCTGGCGCCCTGTGTGCGGCGGCTGCCCTTCGGCAAGTGCAGGTGAGGCTGCCTCGCTGGCCCCGACGTGCCTGACTCTGCGCGGTGATGACCGCGGCCCCTTTGCCGCCCCATAGCCCCCCATGGTGCAGTGTAGCTCAGAGTCTACAGTGGGCGCTTCCTCAGCGCTTGCCTGTGGTTCCAAGGCCCAGGAGCAGGGCAGAGTCCGGGCGAGCTATCAGCGGAGCCCGCCAGCAGCCAGGCACCGGGGTGGCGGGGGGGGGTGCTCTTGTCCCCAGAACCCTGCCCCAGGTGGCAGGCTGGCCGGGGCATGGGAGGGCACCAGGGTTCTCCAGGGAACCCAGAAGGTTTCCCACAGTGCAGAGCTGGGCCTGGCTCTTAGGGGTAAAGGGAGCTCCGGGGGCGTCTCCAGCAAGATCAGACCTGGGTCTAGGAAGCGGGGCTCGCCCAGGGGAGACCTTTGTGGGTTGCTGTCCCTGGGTGCGTCGGGTGAGGGGTGCAGCGCAGGCGAGGGGGCTCTGTGGGTGCAGCCAGCGGCCCCCCAGCACCTGTCTGGGCCAGGCTCTGCCCTGCCCTTGGGGTGCCTACTGTTGTCATCGTGCGGGGATGTGGAGTTTAATGAGGACAGAGTGGGGGCTGCCACTCTGGAGGGGGTGCCTGGGCAGGGCCCAAGGGTGGTGGGCAGTGGGATGAGGCCGGGGGCTGGTGGGCTTGGCTCTGACTGCCCCGTGCCCCCCAGGATCCCCAACAACAGCCTGCCCTACTTCCACAAGCGCCCGCAGGCCCGCATGCTGCTCCTGGCGCTCTTCTGCGTGGCCGTCAGCGTAGTGTGGGGTGTCTTCCGCAATGAGGACCAGTAAGTGCTGCCTCCCCCGGGCCCCGGCGGGCGGTGGCATCCTCAGATGCTCCCTCCCACAGGGCTCCTGGGGCCCTGACTCTCTGCCCTCCTGGAGGCTGCCCCAGCCTGGAGCCGCTTCAGGACCATGTTATGAAAAGCCCTGGCCCCGGGCTGCCCTGATGGGGCCGTGGGGTCGTTTCACCTGGGTTTGTCCGGGTGCCATGGGAACCCTGACTGGAATCTGGGAGGAGAGGCCAGAGCCTCTGTGGCCGGGAGCCATGTCCTCCAGCAGGCCTGGATGGGACTCCTGTGCAGGGCATCACTGCCCAGAGCCAGTCTGTCCCCCGCTGTCCCCGTCTCTGGCACCAACGTGCGCACTGCAGGCCTGAGGACCAGGGTGTGGGCTCCAGGGCAGCCGATCCTCTTGGTCATGCCTGCCACGGCCTCTGAGCAGTGATGGAGGTGGGGCAGGCACTGCTCCCTCCTTGCTCAGCTCCCACGAGGCCTGGACTTGTGGCTGCCTCCTGCCGTCCAGGCCTCCTTGATGAGGCCGAGTGCCTGGCACTGTGTTGGGAGGACGGAGCTGGCCTGTCCCCCCGGCTCCCGCCACCGTCACTGATACCGTCTGGCGCTTCCTCTCGGCTTTTTCCCGAGGCAGCCAAGTGCGCTTGGCTTTGGTGTGTATTGGAGCCGCAGCACGTTTAACTGGCAGAAGGAAGACGTGAAAATATTTTGAATCCTTTGTACACAAAGGGAAATGAATCCTTTCAGTTATTTCCAAGCCAGGAAACTCATTCCGTCACGTGAAGTTAGAGCAGGCCGCAGTCAGCTGGGCGCAGGGGCTCACGGCTGGGATCCCAACATTTGGGAGGCCAAGGCAGGACCATCACTTTACCCAGGAGTTCAAGACCAGCCTGGGCAACAAGCGAGAGCCCCTTTCTATTTCTATTAAGAAATAACATAAATCAGAAAAAATAACTGGCCGCAGTTCTCTGGGTGCTTGTGGCGTGTGGCGCTGGAATTGACTGTCCAGCGTCTCCATGGCGGCCTCTGTTCTCAGCGCCGCCTGCCCGGGGGAGGTTTTATCCCATTTTCAAATGAACCTGTGATGTTTGAGACGCTGAGGAACGCTGGGCAGCTCGTCCAGCAAGTGGCAGGCAGAGCCTCCATGGGGGCAGGGGCCAGCGGGACGCTGGGGCTTCATGGGGCCGGGAGAGAGTCAAGGTTGCGGCTGGCTGCAGGGCTGTGGCCTTGTTCAGGAGGCGGTTCTGTGCTTTGCTCCAGGGCACCAACTGCATGGCAGCCCCACCCACTGTGGACCCAGAGGTTCTGCAGGGAAACCTGGTGTGGCACAAGTTTTACTTTAATAAACAGTTTGGGCGCGGTGGCTCGTGCCTGTAATCCCAGCACTTTGGGAGGCCAAGGCGGGCAGATCACTTGAGGTCAGGAGTTTGAGACCAACCTGGCCAACATGACAACCCCATCTCTACCAAAAATGCAAAAAAAATCTGCCTGGCGTTGTGGTGGGCGCCTGTGATCCCAGCTCCTCAGGAGGCTGAAGCAGAATTGTTGAACCTGGGAGGCGGAGGCTGCAGTGAGTCACGATCGTGCCACCAAACTCCAGCCTGGGCGACCGAGTGAGACTTCATCTCAAAAACAAAAACAGTTTGGAGGGGGTCAGTGCCCGAGCCCTCCTGCACATGCACCCTCTGCCTGGCCGCTGCCTCCAGCCTGGCACCCACCATCCGGGGACAGTGACTGAGGGGACGCAGCCGGCCAGGCCTGTGTCCACCGTCCTGGCTGCAGAGTGGTGGGCTCCTCTACCTGCTTCTGCAGGGGGGCCCTGGGGTGGGGCCTGTGCCGCCCGCCCTGCTGGAGTTGTAACAGCAGGGGTCCTCCCACAGGTCTGGGGTCCTCAGGGTCGTCCCCTGGGCAGGTGGAAGTGCAGCAGGGCCGCCTGCTGGCTGAGAGCGAAGGCCCTGTGTGTGGCTCGTGGGAGGCGGCGTCCTGGGTGGTCAGCCGGCCTCCACCCCAGCAGGGATGCTGCTTTGTCTTGCAGGTGGGCCTGGGTCCTCCAGGACGCCCTGGGCATCGCCTTCTGCCTCTACATGCTGAAGACCATCCGTCTGCCCACCTTCAAGGTGAGCGCGGGGAGGGTGCGGCTACGGGGCAGCGTGGGTGGCGGGGGGCCTTCCCCCCAGCCTGGCCCATGTGGGGCTGTGGTCCTTGCAGGTCTGTGCTCCTGCTCACTGCCCTGGCTATGGGCACCTAGGCCTGTTGTCAAGGGTGGGTCTTGAAGATTGGGTCCCAAAGCCCCTGCCGAGGCGGCCTGGGTGGGTGACTGTGGGGCGGTGGTCCCGGCAGGGGCAACTCATATGTCTGCATGAGGTGGTGGGGAGAGCGGTGGAATAGGGCTGAAGGAACTGGCCTCCGTGGTACCGCGAGCACGGGGGTGTGGTCAAGCCCCAGGCGGCCACATTCCCGTGAGGGCCCCACGGGACCCAAAGCGAGTGGCATTTGAATGCTTGGGACGGCCCCCTGTATCCCCAGAGCCGGCCCGGCGTGGCATGGGCCCCCACCCTCTGCCCCTCCTTCCTGTGACACGGAGACTCTGAAAGCCTAACTTTTGTCCTTAAATCCCGACCTGATGTTGCTTCCAGAGCTGCTCCTGCATGGTGCGGCCCAGCACTGGCTCTCCGCGGGGTTCCTTTAAAGGCTTCCTCCCGGGAGGAGGCGCTGGGCCTCATGAGGTGGGAGTGGAAGGGGGTGTAGGGGAGGCGCAGGCCGGGGTGGGGGCCGCCCTCAACCATGGGCTCCGCAGGCCTGCACACTGCTGCTGCTGGTGCTGTTTCTCTACGACATCTTCTTCGTGTTCATCACGCCCTTCCTGACCAAGGTAGGCGACCGCCTGCACCCCGCTCCACCCCATCACCCCGCTCCCCCGCCCCTATCCCATCACCCCGCTCCCCCGCCCCCATCCCATCACCCCGCTCTGCCCCATTACCCCGCTCCCCCGCCCCATCACCCCGCTCCCCCGCCCCCACCCCATCACCCCGCTCCCCCGCCCCCATCCCATCACCCCGCTCCCCCGCCCCATCCCATCACCCCGCTCCCCCGCCCCCATCCCATCACCCCGCTCCCCCGCCCCCATCCCATCACCCCGCTCCCCCGCCCCATCACCCCGCTCCCCCGCCCCCATCCCATCACCCCGCTCCCCCCCGCCCCCATCCCATCACCCCGCTCCCCCGCCCCCATCCCATCACCCCGCTCCCCCGCCCCCATCCCATCACCCCGCTCCCCCCCATCACCCCGCTCCCCCGCCCCATCCCATCACCCCGCTCCCCCGCCCCATCAACCCGCTCCCCTGCCCCCATCCCATCAACCCGCCCCCCGCCCCATCACCCCTGCTCCCCCACCCCCATCCCATCACCCCGCTCCCCCGCCCCATCAACCCGCTCCCCTGCCCCCATCCCATCAACCCGCTCCCCCGCCCCATCACCCCGTTCCCCCGCCCCATCACCCCGCTCCCCCGCCCCATCACCCCGCTCCCCTGCCCCCATCCCATCACCTCGCTCCCCAGCCCCATCAACCTGCTCCCCTGCCCCCATCCCATCAACCCGCTCCCCCGCCCCATCACCCTGCTGCCCCACCCACATCCCTTCACCCCGCTCCCCCGCCCCCATCCCATCACCCCGCTCCCCCGCCCCATCACCCCGCTCCTCTGCCCCCATCCCATCACCTCGCTCCCCCGCCCCATCAACCCGCTCCCCTGCCCCCATCCCATCAACCCGCTCCCCCGCCCCATCACCCTGCTCCGCCGCCCCCATCCCATTACCCCGCTCCCCCGCCCCATCACCCCGCTCCCCCGCCCCATCACCTGCTCCCCCACCCCCATCCCATCACCCCGCTCCCCCGCCCCATCACCCCGCTCCCCTGCCCCATCACCCCGCTCCCCCGCCCCATCACCCTGCTCCCCCGCCCCCATCCCATCACCCCGCTCCCCCGCCCCCATCCCATCACCCCGCTCCCCGCCCCATCACCCCGCTCCCCTGCCTCATCACCCCGCTCCCCCGCCCCCATCCCATCACCCCGCTCCCCCGCCCCATCACCCCGCTCCCCCGCCCCATCACCCCGCTCCCCCACCCCCATCCCATTACCCCGCTCCCCCGCCCCATCACCCCGCTCCCCTGCCCCATCACCCCGCTCCCCCGCCCCATCACCTGCTCCCCCGCCCCATCACCCTGCTCCCCCGCCCCCATCCCATCACCCCGCTCCCCCGCCCCCATCCCATCACCCCGCTCCCCTGCCCCATCCCATCACCCCGCTCCCCCGCCCCCATCACCCCCCCCCCCCCCCCCCCCCCCCGCCCCCATCCCATCACCCCGCTCCCCCGCCCCCATCCCATCACCCCGCTCCCCCGCCCCCATCACCCCGCTCCCCCGCCCCCATCCCATCACCCTGCTCCCCCGCCCCCATCCCATCACCCGCCCCCCCCCCCATCACCCCGCTCCCCCGCCCCATCCCATCACCCGCTCCCCCGCCCCCACCCATCACCCGCTCCCCCGCCCCCATCCCATCACCCTGCTCCCCCGCCCCCATCACCCCGCTCCCCCGCCCCCATCCCATCACCCTGCTCCCCCGCCCCCATCACCCTGCTCCCCCGCCCCCATCCCATCACCCTGCTCCCCGCCCCCATCACCCCGCTCCCCGCCCCCATCCCATCACCCGCTCCCCCGCCCCCCCATCACCCGCTCCCCCGCCCCCATCCCATCACCCTGCTCCCCCGCCCCCATCACCCCGCTCCCCCGCCCCCATCCCATCACCCTGCTCCCCCGCCCCCACCCCATCACCCTGCTCCCCCGCCCCCATCCCATCACCCCGCTCCCCCGCCCCCATCACCCCGCTCCCCCGCCCCCATCCCATCACCCCGCTCCCCCGCCCCCACCCCATCACCCCGCTCCCCCGCCCCCATCCCATCACCCTGCTCCCCCGCCCCCATCACCCCGCTCCCCCGCCCCCATCCCATCACCCCGCTCCCCCGCCCATCACCCTGCTCCCCCGCCCCCATCCCATCACCCCGCTCCCCCGCCCCATCACCCCGCTCCCCCGCCCCCATCCCATCACCCCGCTCCCCCGCCCCATCACCCCGCTCCCCCGCCCCCGTCCCATCACCCGGCTCCCCCGCCCCATCACCCCGCTCCCCCGCCCCATCACCCCGCCCCCGCCCCATCACCCCGCTCCCCCCGCCCCATCACCCCCCCCCCGCCCCATCCCCCGCTCCCCCGCCCCATCACCCCGCTCCCCCGCCCCATCACCCCGCTCCCCCGCCCCATCACCCCGCTCCCTCACTCAACCCCCTTCTGTGCAGAGTGGGAGCAGCATCATGGTGGAGGTGGCCACGGGGCCCTCGGACTCAGCTACCCGTGAGAAGGTGCGTCCTCTGACCGCAGGGCCTCACGTTGCCATGGGCCAAGGTGTCGCGCCGAGAGGGATGGGGCTGGAGGCCTCCCACGGCCGGACAAGGGTCCTGGAGGACATTGTCCTCTTCCCGTCTTTGCAGCTGCCCATGGTCCTGAAGGTGCCCAGGCTGAACCTCTCACCTCTGGCTCTGTGTGACCGGCCCTTCTCCCTCCTGGGTTTCGGAGACATTTTGGTGCCAGGTGCTGAGGCGGGTGGGGCACACGGTTTGTGCTGTGGGGCAAGGCCCTGGGTGACTGAGGTTTGCCCTTGGGAGTGAGCGGCCTGCGCACCGTTGGCTGCAGATAAAGCCGAGGGTCAGGGTCGGGCAGGTTGGGGCCGTCGAGGCCTGTTTGCCTGGGCAGCGAGGGCATTGTCCGGGTGGAGTAGGGACCGCTTTGGGTCCTAGGGAGCAGGGAAGGCCTCCCGATGGCAGACAGCCTCACCCCATCCTGCTCAGGGTTGCGCAGGGGTCCTTGCTGGGGCCTGGGTCCCAGTGAGCTCATGTTGCTCTGAAGGCAGAGACTGTACCCTCTCAGCCTCAGTGTCCCCAGGGTCCTGCCAGGTGTGTCTGCCTGGGCTTTGCTCTCACTGTGATCTCAGTTTACCCACAGAGTCATGGCAGCCCTGTCCTGAGCAAGCGTGTGGCCTGTCTGTGAAATGACAGCAGCCACTGGGCAGCGAGAGGCCCATGGTGCCCACAAGTGCTCAGGCGCCCTCCTGCTCCCAGGGAGCGCCCACTCCGAGGCTCTGTGGGCCCAGGTGAGCCTCCTCTGTGTGCCTCCCCCAGGGCTGCTGGTGGCCTACTGCCACAGGTTCGACATCCAGGTACAGTCCTCCAGAGTATACTTCGTGGCCTGCACCATCGGTAAGTGCCTCGGTCGAGCCCATGCTGGCCACTCCGGCTCCAGCCCTGCCCTGACTCAGCCTCTGTCCTGACCCTGACCCCAACCCCAACCCTAACTCCAACTCGAACACCATAACCATGACACCCTAATCCTAAACCGTAACACCCTAACCCTAACCCCTGGCCGCTCTGGGAGCTGGGCTCGGGTGGCTGGGCCTGTGCCTGGGCCTGTGCCTGCATCCCCCTCTTTCTCATTCTCCCTGGCTTCCATTGTTCTGTTCTGTTCTTTTCCTTTTCTTTCCTGTTTTCCTCTTTGTGTCTTTTTCTTCTTTGCTTTGTCTTCTACTGTTTCGGTTGTTATGAAAGTGTTTATACAAAGTGCCGTTTTCTGTTGACCGACATTGTTTTAAGAAATGTCCCCCCACCACAGCCGGCCCTAAGAAGCTGTGGTGCTTTCTGGTTCATGGGCACGAGGGTGAGCCACCTTTGCTGAGCCATGCCCTTGACCCAGCCCTCCACGTGGCTCCCTGACGTCCACTCCCAGGGCCAGGAGAGCTCAGGCTGGCCTGCAGGGCCCTTTGGTTGGTGGTGGTCCTCTCACCCCTGCTTCCTGCAGCTGCAGGTGACCCTGGCTTTCCCCTCGCCCCATTTTACCGTCTTCATGATTATCCTTTAAAATCACGGCTGAGGCCGGGCCCAGGGGCTCATGTCTGTGATCCCAGCACTCTGGGAGGCTGAGGTGGGGGGATTGCTTGAGCCCAGGAGTTCAAGACCAGCCTGGGCAACATAGTAAGACCCTGTGTCTGCAGAAGAATACAAAAATTAGCCAGGCATGGTGACATGTGCCTGTAGCCCCAGCTACTCGGGAGGCTGAGGTGGGAGGATCACTTGAGCCTGGGAGTTCAAGGCTGCAGTGAGTCATGATCGGGCCACTGCACTCCAGCCTGGGCAACAGAGTAAGACCCTGTCTCGAAAAAATAAAATGAAAGAAAAAATAAAAACACAGCAGCAGAGATTTTTCTCTCCTGAAGCATAATTTGTCAAGTTGTCCCTGTAATTCCTGAGATCGAAGCCACTGAGATTTTATAGGCGCCAGACCTCTCCGTTTGTCTCTGCGTCTGTCGATGATGGCTGATGGACACGTGGATGGTCTAAAATGGACCAATAGGGACGCTCCCTGTGGCATGGTGTCAGAAATACAGAGATGAGTATTAGAAAAAGTGCCAGGAGCAGTGTGCTTGCTGGACACAGCGGCTCTTTTTTAAGAATGTTCTAGTAAAAAGTTAATTTTCTCAGAGCTTTATTTTGAAATTTTAAATGACAGTTGCAGGGTTGGTACAGAGAACTCCTGTGTGCCCCGTTCTCAGAGGGACTGGTCATTTCCTCACATTCGCTTGATTCCGTTCTCTCTCTCTCCACACACTCACGCGCTCTCCCGTGTACTCCACTTGGCCCTCCCTAGCCCTGGGTTCCGCAGCTGTGGATTCCACCAGCTGTGGGTTGAAAGTATTTGGGGAGAAGAAATTGCATCTGTACTGAACATACCCGGATTTTTTGGGCCGGTATTCCCTAAGCAGTGCCATGGGACAGCCACCGCCCGCAGTGACGTCGTGTTTGTATTTGTAGGAACCTACAGGGATTTATGGTTCGGCAGGACGTGTGTGGGTTCTAGGCAGACACTGCACCCGTTTACGTCAGGGACGTGAGCAAGGGGGGTCCTGGCAGCCCTCCCCTGCGGGTGCCAAGGGTGGCCATGTGCACATTTGTGTACTTACACACATATGTAAATCACAGGCTGTGTTCTCAGGGGACTGGGGCACCGCGCCGGTGGGGGGACACCGTGCCCCTTGACCCCAGACCTTTCACTGGGTGTCTCCTGAGAACATACTTGATGCGCCCCCAGCTTGGTGTCCAAGGGTTTTCTGGTCAGGCACAGGCTCACCTTTGGCTGATTTTCTCAGAGGTTCATAGAAACTGCATCCTGGACATGTCTTGCAGCCCCCGTCCGCTATCACGTCTGCCTCCCGCTGTCCTGCAGCTGCCCGAAGCCTGCCCCTGCCTGTCCCTCTCCTTGCCCTGCCCCTTCCGTGTCCTCGGTGACCCTGACGCCCCTCTCACTGGCCCCGCTGGGGCAGGGTGGGAGTGCGGCCCAGGAGGTGCCGGAAGGATCCATGTACTTCGAGGAGCCTGTGGCCCTGCTGGCTGAACCCCCGCTCTACCTCTCCCGTCCTTGCACACCCCTGCCCTCCACCGCGCCCAGCCCGCTCGCATTGCTCCCAGGGAAGTGGCTGGTGGCCCCGGCCTGCCTGGCTGAGGTGATGCCTCCTCTGTCCCCACAGCCTATGGCGTTGGCCTCCTGGTGACGTTCGTGGCGTTGGCCCTGATGCAGCGTGGCCAGCCCGCTCTCCTCTACCTGGTGCCCTGCACGCTGGTGACAAGCTGCGCCGTGGCACTCTGGCGCCGGGAGCTGGCCGTGTTCTGGACGGGCAGCGGCTTTGCGGTGAATACCAGTTTGCTCTGACTGTGAGAAACAGTCGCCTAGTGAGCCGTAACTAGAGTTCAAGTTGAGTGAGGCCTCCAGCCACAGCAGCCCCGCGGCCGCGACGGGGTCAGGGTCCCGGCAGCGTCTGCTTTGGGTGTCGTGCGCGTGTGGCGCCGGTGGACGGACATGCTGGGTGGGACCCGGGGGTGCCCTGTCCTTGCTAAAGTTGCTTCCCCCATAACGGTCACTGGCGCCCCACTTGTGTGGGCATTGGGCATCCGTCGTCTCTCCTGCTGAGCGCGAGGCGCCCGACTGGGAGTGGGGCCGCAGAGCCCTGTGCGAGGGGAGCAGGCTGGCCCTGGCTGTGGAAGCCCTGTCCCCTGTCCCGTCCCCCTCGGCGACGCAGGGGGCGGCTGGCAAGGGTTAACCGTGCACGTTGCAGGGAGGGCTTAACGCCACGTCCGTTCTGCTTTTGTGATTTTTGTAAACGAGAAGTGGGTGGGACCCCCCTTCCAATGGGCTGTGGGGTGCTTAACCAAGAGGGGCGACTTCCTGGGTTCCCGAGACTCAGGCACATTGCGCCCGAGAGCTGCCCCCACCCCTCCGGGCAGTGCCTCTCGGAGGCCATGACCACCCAGGGAGCAGCCCCACGCCGCAGGGCGATCCTCAGGCTGTTGGGCATCGGTGCAGCTCCTCCCGTAGCCGGCCTCCCTCTGCGGGTGATGCCGCGTTTCTCAGTGGTGCCCGCCGCGTGTGGCGGTCCTGCATCATGTTTTTGTGGAAGTTAAACCACACCCATCCTGCCGCACTGGTGTGATGCATTGGGTCGAGCTGTGGTTCCAGGGCCAAGCCGGGCTCATGGGTCCCACAGATGGGACCATGTCCTGAGACCAGGCCCGAGGGAGAGGTCTCCTGGGGCCAGCACCCCCACCCCACAAGGTTTCCCCATTCTGATGGGTATTTCAGAAAGTTCAGGAGAAGCCGAGGACCAGGCCCCAGGGCCGAGAGACGGAGAGTCCGGGCTTCTCTTTGGAGGGGCTTTGCACAGCTCCCAGCCTCTGCTGGCCTTGGGTTCCCCTCCCGCGGCCCCTGTGCGGATGGACGGGGTCCTGGGTGCCCATGGGCCATGGAGCCGGCCCCCTCCTTGGGACACCTCTGCTTGTCCCAAGCCTGGGTCCAGAGCCCCTGGGGATGGCGCCGCATTTTAACCCTGCCCCCGTGGCCTGCGGGTGCTGGGTGTCGTGGCCCCTACCAGGGCCCTCCTCTGGGTCCCTGTCTTCTCACCTCTGCCTCCCTTCTCCTGTAGAAAGTCCTACCTCCATCTCCGTGGGCCCCAGCGCCAGCCGACAGCCTGCAGCCTCCCAAAGACTCGGCCACACCGCTGTCCCCGCAGCCACCCGGCAAAGAACCAGCCACACCTCCCCAGCCTGCGGAGCAGCCCCCAGAACCCTGTGTGCCCGAGGAGACGGGGGCTGGAGCCGCCACGCGGGAGCCTGGGAGCCCGGCTGAACCCGAGGGCCGGGACCAGGCCCAGCCGTGCCCGGTAGCTCAGCCTGGCGCCTTGGCCTAGGGGAGGGGTGAGACGCTCGCTGCCGTGCCCGCCATACCAAGATGTTGGGGCTGCCTGGCGCCTGCTGGAGACAGACGGACAGATGCCTGTCCCCGGCACTGAGGCCTGTGCTGTCCCCACCCGCCCCAACATGGTGCTCATCCTTGCCGAGACCCCCGTGGTCCGTGCCCGCGCCCAGCCCAGCTGCCCCGGCTGCACGCCTGCTGCTCCAAGCTCGCCCGGCTGCCACAAGCCCTCTGCGGGTCCGTCCTCCTCCCCACTGGAGTCCGTCCTCGCAGGCCCTGCCCGGCCTCTCTGCAGACCCTCAAGCGCCGTCTGCATGAGTGAGCAGGCGTGGGTGGACTCTGGCCGCAGACACACTTGGTGCTCACCGGCCGCTTCGTCCTTCAGGTGACCTTCCTCCCCACGGCATCCTGTTCTCGGGCGGAGGAGCAGCTTTGTCTCCCAGAAGGCATCGCTTTTCCCTCTTGAGCAGATCGGAGCCCCTGGGAGGTTTGGAAGCCACCTCCAAGCCTAGGACACGGCCTGGTGGCCGGGGCGGCATCTGGACCCTGACGCTGACTGAGACAGGCCTGTGGGGCAGGGTTTCGGGGTGTGAACGAGGCTGGCAGTGAGTGGACAAGCTGTTCCCCTGGCTCAGGCCCCGCCCTGCCCTCAGCCGGAGGCACCTGGCCGTGCCTGCACACTCCTCCCCGTTTTAATAAACAGTCGCAACTTCTAGAAGTCCTGCTGGTGCCACCTGGTGGGGTGGACATCTCAGACTGCCCTTCTGACAAGCAGGGGTAGGCGCCAGGCAGGCTGGGTCAGGCCCTCGGGGGTCCCTGGGGCCCTGGGAGGGAGGGACTGGGCTGCGGGAGGTCCTGGCTGCTCCTGGCACCCAACCTCACTCCCCGCGTGGGCCCTGTGTTGCTTTTCCGCCGAGAGGGGCTTGGGCCTGGGTTCTCCCTGTGGCAGCGGCATTGGTGCGTGGTTCTTAACCCTCTGGACCCAGCATCTAGGAGCTTCTGGAACCCACGAGGACATCTGCCACTGGCGTGGTCTACTCACTGATGAGGTTCTCCTGACTCCGGGGCAGAGACGTCCATGCAGGAACTGACTGAGGCGTGGCCCCAGGCCCTGGCATCCTCTGCTCGCTGACCAAGGTGTGGCCCCAGGCCCTGGCATCCTCCCCTCGCTGCACGTGGTCACTTCCGAAGCAGCGCTCCCTGTGGCCGCAGCGACAGAGCCTGCACCCTGGCTGTCTGCGGCGCCAGGGCCCCAGCTCCCGCCTGCCACCCGCCCTGTCCTCGCAGCCTCCAGACTCGAGTCCAGAATCTGTTTCTGTCAAGTCAGTCACCCCCAGCTGCACACGGGGACGCTGAGCGCTGCGCTCTCACGGGTCTGTTCCCGTCAGAGGGTGGCAGGGGTGAGCCCCGATCCCTTCCAGAGAATACCAGCTTCCCAGGGAGTAATGGCACCTTCACTGAAGCCATTTTGTACATGGGGACAGGGTGGGACCTCTCTTTTTTGGTGTTGGACGTTGGACCATTGGGGAGGGTTCAGAGGCGGCGGTCCTGTCCTTGACTCCGTCTGTCCGTGTGGCCTTGCTGCCGTTCAGTCTGATCATTAAACACAGCTTTTGATACACGTGGCCCGGCCTCTGCCTCTGCAGTGCGTGGCTTGGAACATCTGCTCCGTGCAGGTCCCGGTGAACAGAACTGAGAGCTGGCAGGCCGCCTGGCTGTTCTGCAGAGGACGGATGGGAATGGCCACTGCAGGGCCGGCCAGTGCTGTGAGGTGCCCAGTGTCCCTCCCGTGGGCTCTGCGGGCCGCGTGGTCCCCGTCACGCTTCTCAGCTCTGCCACTGTTGCTGGAAAGCATCACAGATCATGTGTAAAATGGGCCAAAATGCTTTTTAAAAATTAAAATAGAGATGGGGTCTTGCAGCGTTGCTGAGGCTGGTCTCGAACTGCTGGGCTCAGGTGAACCTCCCGCCTCGGCCTCCCAAAGTGCTGCAGTGACAGGCGTGAGCCACCACGCCCGGCCCCCAGATGGTTTTGTTGCCAGACCCTGTAACTGGAATTGTATAGCATTTTCACATCTCAAAATAGTTTATTATTATTTTTTTCTCTTTAAAAATGCAAAGAGCTGTCTTAGCCGCTTCGGGGCAAGGTTTGGTTTCCAGCTGCTGCTCACTGGCCCCGGGCCTGTGGAAATGTGGGTGATGGATGCGGGTTTGTGTGTGGGCCGAGGAGCTAGTGAGCCTTGAGCATCTGCCTGGCATCAGGGACTGTGTGTGTGTTGTTCTAGTCTCACCAAGTTCTCCACTACATTAGAGAAAGTGAGTCCCAGGCTGGGCACGGTGGCTCACGCCTGTCACCCCAGCACTTTGGGAGGCTGAGGCTGGAGGACTGCTTGAGCCTAGGAGTTTAAGACCAGCCTGGGCAACGTAGCAAGACCCCGTCTCTACAAAAATTACCTGGGTATGGTGGCACACACCAGTGGTCCCAGCTGTTCTGGAGGCTGGGGTGGGAGAATTACTTGAGCCCAGGAGGTCAAGGCTGCAGTGAGCTGTGATCACACCACCGCACTCCAGCCTGGGCAACAGAGCGAGACCCTGTCTCAAAAAACAAGCCGAGCGCGGTGGCTCAAGCCTGTAATCCCAGCACTTTGGGAGGCCGAGACGGGCGGATCACTAGGTCAGGAGATCGAGACCATCCTGGCGAACACGGTGAAACCCCGTCTCTACTAAAAAATACAAAAAAACTAGCCGGGCGAGGCGGCGGGCGCCTGTAGTCCCAGCTACTCGGGAGGCTGAGGCAGGAGAATGGCGTAAACCCGGGGGGCGGAGCTTGCAGTGAGCTGAGATCCGGCCACTGCACTCCAGCCCGGGCGACAGAGCCAGACTCCGTCTCAAAAAAAAAAAAAAAAAAAAAAACCCAGCCAGCCTCTGAGGCTGCATGACTGTAAGGGATCAGAGATGTGGATTCCTGCAGGCCCTGAGCCAAGCCACGACTGCCTGGCAGTGTGACGCCCTTGGCCTTAATGTGAAACAGGGTAAGGACACAGTCGGAGATGGAGGCTCAGGCCTTACCACTCACAGCAAAGCTGAATTCAAACCCACTGGGGATGGGACGGCTTAATCACGGAAAGCGAATTCCAGAATATTTGAAGTCACAAGTATGTTTCGGTTTTTTGACCTGAGCAGTTCATCGATGCACTCCAGAAGGAGCACCCCGGATGGCCTTTCCACAGGGGAAATCACTGCTCAGAGACCACCTAGCAATGGCTCTGAACACTCCTCCCCTGCGTGCCTCTAGTGGTGATTCGTCCTGTCCAGGAAAAGAAAAACTCGCTATGTCATTAGCTCCGGTGGACTTGAGCCCCAGGGCTGAAGGTTACAGTCGGGACTCAGTGCCTGGAGCCCTGGGCTGACACCGCCTCCACCTGTGACCGCCTGTGGTTGTGGGCAAGTCCCTCCGCCTCTTAACTTCCTGTCGTCTGGAAAGTGGGTTAGTCATTTGTACCCACTGCAAGGCATGGCGGCCGGAATGCCACCAAATCAGCCGTCTGGTTGGACGCTTAGAAGCAGTCGTGACTTTTGTGTTAGTGACACACTTGGTTCAGGAAGACGGAGAGCTCCTGCCAGGCTCAGCAGGTGTCCAAGCCCGGGGGTGTGTACACACCCTGACTGTGCGGGTCACACACCCCGGGATGTCGGGTAGAGCTGGGGAAATGGAAACAGCCTGCTCCTTGGCACTGGGGGGATATTTGTTTCTTTTCGCGGGGAGCACACCTCTGTCTTGCAGTTTAAGTTACAAAGTGGAATAATGCGGTAACAATAGTGATCTTCTTTCACTAGGCTGACCAGAGCTTACAAATTTTTTATCCACCCACCCATTTATCTAACCATCCACCCATCCATCCACCCATTTATCCAACCATTTGTCCACACACCTGTCCACTTATTTATCCATCTGTTCATCCACACACCCACCCACCCACCTATCTGTTCAGTTATCCATCCATCCATCCACATACCCTTCATCCACCCATTTATCTAACCATCTATACACACACCCATCCACCCATTTATCCATCCATCCATCTACCCATTCACCTGTCCACCCACTCATCCATTTATCTACCCGTCCATCCACTCATCATCCACCCATCCATTTATCCAACATCCATCCACACACACACCCATCCACACACACCCATCCATCCATCCACCCACCCATCCACACACCCATCCACACACCTATCCATTTATCCAACCATCCATCCACCTATCCACATACCCATCCACCCAGTTACCAACCATCCACCCAGTTATCCAACCATCCATCCACCCACCCACCCATTCATCCATCTATCCACACACCCATCCATCTATCTACCTACTCATCCGCCCATCCGTCTCCATCGATCCACCATCCATTTTTCCATCCATTTACCCATCCACACATCCATCCATCCATCCATCCATCCATCCATCCATCCATCCACCCACCCACCCACCCACTCACCCACAAACCCACCCATCTACACACCCATTCATCCATTTACCCATCCATCCATCCACCCATTCATCTACTCATCCATCCATTTGCCCATCCATTCACCCACCCACTCACCCATCTATCCACCCGTCTACCCATTCATTCATCCACCCACCCACCCATTTACCCATCCATCCACCTATTCATCTGCCCACCAATCCATCCATCCACGTGCCCATCTAGCCATTCATCCATCCACCCACCCATCCACTCATCCATCCATTTACCCATCTATCCACCCATTATTTACCCCCCACCATCCGTCTACCCATCCATCCATCCATCTACCCATCCATTCACCCAGCCATCCAACCACCCACCCACTCATCCATTTACCCATCCACCCATCTACTCACCTACCCATCCATCTATCCATCCACCCATCCACACATACACCCATCTATCCATCCACTCATGTACCGTCCATCCGTCTGTCCATCCATCCATCCCTCCCTCCCTTTCTCCCTCCTTCCCTCCCTCCATCACTGAACCACCCATCCACACACACTCATTCACCCACCAGTCATCACTGCCGTGTGCCAGGTCCTCTACTAAGCACCCCCTCTGGCCCAGGCAGAGAGCTGCTATAGCTGCACAAGGAACCAGGACTCAGTGTTTGGGGCCAGGTGGGAAGTCATCAGAAGGTAAGAGGGTGGAATTCTGGAAAGAGTCCACCAATGGCCCTGAGAAATAGAGGAGGGGGTTCCCGTGGGGTCACAGACTCTTCTCCACACAGCTCAGAGAAGGCTAGAAATGCCTCTTGGGAACCAGCCGCAGCCCGCCGCCCAACAGGAGGGTGGGCAGGAGAATGCAGCAATGGGAGGTCCTGGATGTGGAGCCCCAGCTTGCATCCCAGGAGCTGGATGACTGGCTCTCAGGGCTGTAGCCATCTGTTCTGCCTAAAAGGAGGTGACAACTACTTTTGTGAGGCCATCATGAGAACCTAGTGGAGTCCCTGCTGAGTGCTGGGCACACAGCACATACTCAATAGACTGGATCATTCTGCAGGCGGCTGGGGAAATGGGGACCCAGGAGGTGGATCCTCCAGGATTGCTCTCCCTGCATAACCAGGCTTGGCTCCCCAGGGCTTGCAGCACTTCTCAAAAGCAAATCACCACTTAAGGCACAAAGACGTTGCTGCCAATGGTAATAAAATGGGCTGGTCGCTCACAGTTCCAAAAAAAAGATGTCCCCAAAGTATCTTGAGATAAGAGATGAGACGGTGGTTCTAACGAAGTGCACGGTCTCCTTCGACGGCATGGAGGAATGTGAACAACTTCGTGACTAAGCAGGAGAGGCAGCCAGCGAGGCAGCGGGTGGCACAGTCAAAACCAAGGCCACCCAGTCTGACCATGAGGGAGAGAAACACCAGACAAACCCACTTGAGAAGTGTCCTGCCGAACACCTGACCTCCTTCCCCGGGAGCGTGCAGGGGTCGGAAACCGGAACGTGACCTCCTTCCCCGGGAGCGTGACCTCCTTCGGCAGGAACGTGACCTCCTTCCGCAGGAGCGTGCAGGGGTCAGAAACCGGAACGTGACCTCCTTCCCCGGGAGCGTGACCTCCTTCGGCAGGAACGTGACCTCCTTCCGCAGGAGCGTGCAGGGGTCAGAAACCGGAACGTGACCTCCTTCCCCGGGAGCGTGACCTCCTTCCGTAGGAGCGTGCAGGGGTCAGAAACGGGAACGTGACCTCCTTCCCCGGGAGCGTGCAGGGGTCGGAAACCGGAACGTGACCTCCTTCCCCGGGAGCGTGACCTCCTTCGGCCGGAACGTGACCTCCTTCCGCAGGAGCGTGCAGGGGTCAGAAACCGGAACGTGACCTCCTTCCCCGGGAGCGTGACCTCCTTCCGTAGGAGCGTGCAGGGGTCAGAAACGGGAACGTGACCTCCTTCCCCGGAGCGTGCAGGGGTCGGAAACCGGAACGTGACCTCCTTCCCCGGGAGCGTGACCTCCTTCCGCAGGAACGTGACCTTCTGCAGGAGCGTGCAGGGGTCAGAAACGGGAACGTGACCTCCTTCCCCGGGAGCGTGACCTCCTTCCGTAGGAGCGTGCAGGGGTCAGAAACGGGAACGTGACCTCCTTCCCCGGGAGCGTGCAGGGGTCAGAAACGGGAACGTGACCTCCTTCTGCAGGAGCGTGCAGGGGTCAGAAACAGGAACGTGACCTCCTTCCGCAGGAGCGTGCAGGGGTCAGAAACGGGAACGTGACCTCCTTCTGCAGGAGCGTGCAGGAGTCAGAAACAGGAACGTGACCTCCTTCCCCGGGAGCGTGCAGGGGTCAGAAACGGGAATGTGACCTCCTTCCCCGGGAGCGTGCAGGGTCAGAAACAGGAACGTCCCCTCCTTCCGCAGGAGCGTGCAGGGGTCAGAAACGGGAACGTGACCTCCTTCCCCGGGAGCGCGCAGGGGTCAGAAACGGGAACGTGACCTCCTTCCCCGGGAGCGCGCAGGGGGTCAGAAACGGGAACGTGACCTCCTTCTGCAGGAGCGTGCAGGGGTCAGAAACAGGAACGTGACCTCCTTCCGCAGGAGCGTGCAGGGGTCAGAAACAGGAACGTGACCTCCTTCCGCAGGAGCGTGCAGGGGTCAGAAACGGGAACGTGACCTCCTTCTGCAGGAGCGTGCAGGAGTCAGAAACAGGAACGTGACCTCCTTCCGCAGGAGCGCGCAGGGGTCAGAAACGGGAACGTGACCTCCTTCCCCGGGAGCGCGCAGGGGTCAGAAACGGGAACGTGACCTCCTTCCCCGGGAGCGCGCAGGGGGGTCAGAAACGGGAACGTGACCTCCTTCCCCGGGAGCGTGCAGGGGTCAGAAACGGGAACGTGACCTCCTTTCCCGGGAGCGTGCAGGGATCAGAAACAGGAACGTGACCTTCCCCGGGAGCGTGCAGGGGTCAGAAACGGGAACGTGACCTCCTTCCCCGGGAGCGCGCAGGGGGTCAGAAACAGGAATGTGACCTTCCCCGGGAGCGTGCAGGTGTCAGAAACGGGAACGTGACCTCCTTCCCCGGGAGCGTGCAGGGGGTCAGAAACGGGAACGTGACCTCCTTCCCCGGGAGCGCGCGCAGGGGGTCAGAAACGGGAACGTGACCTCCTTCCCCGGGAGCGTGCAGGGGGTCGGAAACGGGAACGTGACCTCCTTCCCCGGGAGCGTGCAGGGGTCAGAAACGGGAACGTGATCTCCTTCCCCGGGAGCGTGCGGGGGTCAGAAACAGGAACGTCTGGGAAACTGCAACAGCCCGGAGAGACCCAAGGAGACGCAACGCCTCAATGCCATGTGGGATCCCGGGTGGGGCCCTGAGCAGGAAACTGGGGGAAACTGAGTAAACCGGAATCAAGTGTGGACTCCACTTAACAGTGATGCATCAGTATTTGTTCATTGATTGAGACAAATGTATCCCACTGGCCTGGATGCCGGGAACAGGGGGCCTGGGATGTGGCACACGGGAGTTCTGAACTATCTGCACATTTTGTGGGAATCTAAAACTCTAAAACGTTTAGGCTGGGCAGGGTGGCTCACTCCTGTAATCCCAGCACTTTGGGAGGCCAAGGTGGGAGGATGGCTTCAGCCCAGGAGTTTGAGACCAGCCTAGGCAACATGGCAAGACCCCGTCTCTATTTATAAAACAATTAAAATGTTTTATTAAAAAAATACTGTAGTTCCATCATCCCGGGCAACATGATGAGACCCTATCTACTAAAAATACAAAAATTAGTCTGGTGTAGTGGCAGGCTCCTGTGGTCCCAGCTACTCCAGACGCTGAAGTGGGAGGATCACCTGAGCCTGGGAGGTCAAGGCTGCAGTGAGCTAAGATCGCGCCACTGCACTCCAGTCTGAGCGACAGACAGAAAAAAAAAAAAAAACAAAAAACAGCACACACACACAGGTTACACCAGCTCCCTAGAAAATGCCCTGGCCGGGCGCGGTGGCTCAAGCCTGTAATCCCAGCACTTTGGGAGGCCGAGACAGGCGGATCACAATGTCAGGAGATCGAGACCAGCCTGGCTAATACGGTGAAACCCCGTCTCTACTAAAAAATACAAAAAACTAGCCGGGCGAGGTGGCGGGCGCCTGTAGTCCCAGCTACTCGGGAGGCTGAGGCAGGAGAATGGCGTAGACCCGGGAGCGGAGCTTGCAGTGAGCTGAGCTGCGGCCACTGCACTCCAGCCTGGGCGACAGAGCGAGACTCCGTCTCAAAAAAAAAAGAAAAAAAAGAAAATGCCCTTAGCACCTGCCCTCAGGGCTGTCCTGGGCGCACCCCTCCCTGCGCCCTGTCCCGGGTCACCTGCCCAGGTGGGCCCACCTGCCCACAGCGCCCACTCTGCCGGGACCCCCCCACCCCATGGCTCCCGGCGGCGGGGCCCACTCCCATCCCTGGCTACCCCCAACTCCACCCGTCCCCATCGTCTTCCATTCTGGGCCGGCTCCCGCCAGGGGTGGGTATCCAGGGTGGAGGTCGCAGAGCCCTGGGACCCCTGTCCTCCGGAGACCCCAAGCCTGGCGGCACCTCTGGCCCGTCGCAGGCGTCGCCGGGGAAGGGGCTTGGCGGGGGCGGGGGTGAGGGCGGCTCCCCCACCCGGCTCCGCCCACTCCTCCCTTCTTCCAGCCCAGGGCCCAGCTCCAGCTTCTGCTCCGCTCGGGCCGGCGGGATCTGGGCAGCAGCGGTGCAGCCTCGTCTTCCGAAGTGCGGTGAGTCGCGGTCGCCCCCGCACCTCAGAACAGCCCCCGCTTCCTCCAACCCCGTTTCCCAAGCCCTGGGGTTGTGTGGTCGCCTCTGGGGCTGGGTAGACATGGCGGGGTTGTGTAGATGCAGCCAGGCTGTGTAGACACCACTGGGGTTGTGTAGAGGCAACTGAGGCTGTGTGGACGCCACTTGGGTATGTAGACATGGCCAGGTTGTGTAGATGCGGCCGGGGTTGTGTGGATGCAGGTGCGGTGTGTAAATGTGGCCAGGGTTGTGTGGACTCAGGTGCGGTGTGTAAATGTGGCCAGGGTTGTGTGGACTCAGGTGCGTTGTGTAGATGCAGCCGGGGTTGTATGGACTGACTGGGTTTGCGTGGACGCAGGTGCGGTGTGTAGATGCGGCCGGGGTTGCGTGGGCGCAGGTGCGGTGTGTAGATGCAGCCGGGATTGTATGGACTGACCGGGGTCGCGTAGGCGCAGGTGCGGTGTGTAGATGCCGCCGGGGTTGCCTGGGCGCAGGTGCGGTGTGTAGATGCCGCCGGGGTTGCGTGGGCGCAGGTGCGGTGTGTAGATGTGGCCGGGGTTGCGTGGATGTATCTAACCTGTGTAGATGTGGCTGAGGTTTGTAGATGAGGTCAGCCTGGGTAGATGCGGCCAGGGTGTGTGGAGGTAGCTGGGATTGTGTGGATGCAACTGAATTGCCTAGATGCAGCCTGGTTCGTGGAGGGGCCTGGGACGACCGAAGCCCTCCCCATCCCCATCCGCACCCAGAGTCCTCCTTTCTTTTCTACCCGTGAACTTCACCTAAAGCAAGAATCAAGCATCAGCCTGGAGCCCTCTGGGGTCAGGAGCAGCAGGAAAGCGGCTGACAGCTACTGGGGTGGGGTCTGGGGTGGGAGGCCAAGCTGGGTGGGAGGCGAGGCTGGGGTGGGGAGCAGGGCTGGGATGGGAGGCGAGGCTGTGTTGGGAGGCAGGCTGGGTAGGGTGTGGGGCTGGGGTGGGTGTGGGCTGGGCTGGGGTGGGAGCTAGTCTGGGTGGGGTGCGGGGCTGGGATAGGGTGCTGGGTGGGTGGGAGCTAGTCTGGGGTGGGTGCGGGGCTGGGATAGGGTGCTGGGTGGGAGCGAGTCTGGGGTGGGGTGCGGGGCTGGGATAGGGTGCTGGGAGGGGTGGAGCGAGTCTGGGGTGGGGTGCGGGGCTGGGATAGGGTGCTGGGCTGGGGTGGGAGCGAGTCTAGGGTGGGGTGCCGGGCATCTGACTGGAGCGTCTCCTCCTGCTCCAGTTCTCATCCTGGGAGCACTTCTGAGTAAACACACACAGGGACGTTTCAGGTAACAATTGGAGAGTGAAAGGCCTGAGATGAGGTTGGTTATCGGCATTTGCCCTGGGGGAGGGTCCTCCTGGATTCAGTTAGCCCGGCAGGAACCCAGGCTGGGGACCTTGGCGTTATCCCCAAGTGATCAGGAGTGACCCACATTCTGGGAACTGGGGAGGGGTCCCAGGACAGGGTCTGTGCTCAAGGGTCTTCTGTGGCCCGGGGACCTTCGGTTTCCCTCCCTCATTTTATAGGGGGTCAAACCAGGCTTCAGACCCAGGCATGGGCTCCCGGGGTTGCCAAAGGTTTTGGGGACTTGCCAACAGGTTCGGGCACTGCCCCGCGGGACTTCATGGCCCCAAACACCTTGTGGTCCGCGTGGTGGCCGCCGCCTTGCAGGTCAGGGATGCTGTGCAGGACAGCTGTGGTCCTGACTTCCTGACCTTTCCTAGGGCTCGGCCGGGCGGGGCTGTGTGAGATTCTGGGTGAGGTGGCTGTGTGGCTGTGTGTGATTGTGTGTGGTCTTGTGATTGTGTGTGATGTGTGGTTGTGTGTGGCAATATATATAATTGTGTCTGTGGTTGCGTATGGCCGTGTGTGATTTGTGTGTGATTGTGTATTATGTGCGTGGTCATGCGTGATTGTTTATGTTGTGTAATTGTGTGATTGTGTATGGTGTGGTCGTGTGTCATGTGGTCATGCGTGGTTGTGTATGGTGGTGTAATTGTGTGGTTGTGTGTCCATGGCTGTATAACTGAGTTGTACGGTTGTGTGGTCATGTGTGGTTGCGTATAGTTATGTCATGATGTTTGTGTGATTGCATAGGATTGTGGTTGTGTGAGATCGTGTGGCTGTGTGCAGCAATGTGTGTCATTGTGCCTTGTGATTGTGGCGGAGGGGTAATTGTGTGTATGGGTGTGTGACTGCATGTGTGAGACCGTGTGTGGTTGCGTGTTGCGTGGGAGGTTTCTGCAGCTGTGTGGTTATAGCATATGGTTGTGTGTGTGAACGCATGATGAGATTTGTATGATTTTACGGATGACTTTGTGTGGTTGTGTATGGTTGTATAATTGTGTGTGATTGCATATGATTGTGGCAATGTGTGTAACCGTATCTGTGTGTGACTGTGTATGGTTGAGTTGTGACTGTATCAGTGTACGACCAAATGTGTGAAGTTGTCTGGCTGTATGGTCATTGTATGTGAGATTTGTGCAGTTGTGTTGTAATGTGTGGTGTGTGGTTGTGTTTGGTTGTGTGAGGTTGTGTGTGGTTATGTGTTGTGTGTGGTTGTGTGGTTGTGTTGTGTGAGGTGGTGGTTGTGTGTGGAAATCCACCCTTCCTAGTCTTCTCATCTGGGCGTGGGGATGAGGGTCCCAGTGCTCAGGCTGGCCTGACCAGGGGGTAATTGGACCCTGCAGAGCCTCACAGGGCCTGCTTGTCCTGCCACACGGAATGGGAGTCCGTGTGTGCCCCGCTGCACACAGCATGTGAACGTGAACCGGGGACCGTGCGACCCACTGCACTTTGGGTCCCATCCCTAAAGAGCATTCATGCACACTCGAAAGTTCCCTTTGAGAATTTGGGATATTTAGGGTGTAAAATATGGAGCTTGGAGAGTCCTTAGGCAAAAGGTGTTGGTGGTCGGTTGCCCAGGCTGTGCACTCTGTCTGCTGGTGCGTGGGCTTGCAGGAACGCTGGAGCATGGGAGTTCAAACCCTGTTGTCACTGTGGTTGGTTAAGGGCTTTGCGGCGACGTGGAGCCATCGTAGACGGATCCCAAGTGAGGGCAGAATGAAGGCAAAGGCGTTGCTTCTCTGACAGTGGACACATGGGTGCAGATTTTATGTAGGAGCTGTTGGGGAGGGGTGGGGGGACAGGCGAGTGTGTGGGAGGGAGTGAAGTCACGTGATTTCCCCGTGCATCTGTGCGTGCAACTGTGGGTGGTGGAGCTGGTGCCTGGGGAGGCAGGACTGGACCCTGGGCACCGACACTGGGGCAGGGTTTACAGCTCCTGGCCCTGTGTCCCTCGGTCCCCAAGGCTCACCTGGCTTAGCTGGGGAGCATAACAGAGAAGCTGCTCAGCAACGTGGAAGAGTCACTGAAATTCCAAGAACTCTATGTGTGTGTGTGTCTGTGTGTGTGTGTGTGTGTGTGTGTGAGAGAGCGCGCACCTCAATCTCCTCCTCTGTAAATGGGCATACTGATATTAGCTGGACCTGCGTACCCTGAGATTATTGGGAGGGATGGATCAACTCTCGTAAGCCTGTGAGCCCTACACCAACAGGACGCTGTTGGGACCCAGCACCTGTAGTCCCAGCTACTCAGGAGGCTGAGATGGGAGGATTGCTTGAGCCCGGGAGTTGGAGGCTGCAGTGAGCTGTGATTGCACCACTGTACTCCAGCCTGGGTGACGGAGTGAGACCCTGTCTCAAATAAATAAATAAATAATGAAAGATGGAGAAAGAGAAGAAATTTAGGAGCCCAAGAATGAAGCTGAGGCGAACCTTGGGGTTTCATTGAAGTTGATGGTTGAGGCAGCCCCGCAGGCTGTTCTGAACCACTGATGTTTCTATGTGTGGCTCTGAAATGGACGCAGAGGATAACATATTCTGGGTAATCCGCTCATAACTGCATAAGAGGCTTTCTTCACTGTTGTTGCTTTGTAGAGATGGGGTCTCACTATGTTGCCCAGGCTGGTCTTGAATTCCTGGCTCAAGGAATCCACCTTGACCTCCCAAAGCGCTGAGATTACAGGTGGGAGCCACAGCACCCAGCCCTTTGTTGTTTTGTTTACGCGTTACCTTTATTAAAAAAAATTTGGGGGGATAATTTTAGTTGCGAAGATGGTGCAGAGAGTCCCCGCACACACACCCTCCACCCGGTGTCCCCTTGCGTTGATACCTTTGACCATAGAACAAAGAGCAAAACTAAGGCATCCCCGTAGGTGCCGCACTCGGTCTTCCCCCGATATTTCTGTTCTACGTTGGAATCCAGGATCCCACATTGCATTTAGGAGCTGTGTTAATTTTAAATGATACAACTCGTGAGCGCTTGGAAGGTTATTTTTTAATCTCTGCGTTTCTCTGTTTCCCTTGGTATCACTCATGTTTATCAGCGTTTTCCCTCCCACACGATTACTGACTCCCTTCTCCTCTGTCCACATTATAAAGCTGAGAGAACACAAGATATCATTGCTGCAGATAGTTTTCTCACAAACACCTCTTCCATGAAAGCTAACAAAAAGACCATAGACAAAATGAAAAAAAAAAAAAAAGACCAAGCTTATTAAATTTCCTGTAGGCTTGCTGAGTGATTTATTTCGTGATGTTGGGGCGATGGAGGAGGGGAGGTTTTCCCGGCTAGATTCAGGCCCGAGGACAGGGGACAGACAACAGCTGCCCGTTCCATAAACGGGCTTTGGCTGCCGTGGGACCAAGGATGGGGAATCGAATGGGATGGAGGTGTCCGAAAACTGTGATCATCTTGGATTAGGTGAAGGAAAAGTCAAACAAACCAACAAAAACAAAAAAACCTACACAGACAGGTGGTCAAGACAGCCAAAGAGCTGAGACCGAGGCTGGGGGTGTGATGGTACCGGCTTGTAGTCCCACCTATTTGGGAGGCTGAGGCAGGAGGATCACTTGAGCACAGGAAGTTGAGACCAGCTCAGCAAGATAGCAAGACCCCATCTGTA